TTTTTTCATTACTCCAAATCTTACAACATACACATATTTATATATTCACTATGTCGGTTGATGATGCTCATTCTTGCCGCCTAGTTTGACCTTTTTACTAATCTTAATGACAAAGTAATGCAAGTGTGAGCATCCTGATTCGATTTGGAATGGATCGATCTTTATCCACGCCAGTAGAACGCCGGAAACCTGCAAATAACTCTCACACCGGGGGTTGCGTCCGGTGAAGAGCCTTCGATGCTTAAGTCAGTATGTGTATGAGTATACTGAAGTGAAGAATGAATAGAATGTGTTAAGGGAGAAAGACTCACCCCCTTTATATAGGGGTGAGATACCTGCCCTAATAGCTGCCCGGATAAGGATGAGTTGGCTGCCCAAGCTGCCCGTTCGTACTCAGACACGCCGCGCACATGTCAGAGGTGGCGCAAGGCGTTGGGAGCTGTCAGAGGTGGTTATCGCTATCACCCAATACATTCTCGACACGTGTCCTCCTGCACATGGGGTAAAATTCTCTTGGAATTCAGTTGGAAGCTCTTACACGCGCCTGTGACTAGGCCGATCTGTTGAGTGTTGAGTCCGCGAGATGCTCGACCTGCTGAGGTCGATAAGATTACTCGATCGTTTCTTTGGTCGAGCGATAGATTGGTCGACTGTTTGACTGGTCGACAAGTTATTTTGCTCGATCTTCTCCTCGCCTGGCTCGATTCCTTCATGGTATGACCTTTTAAACCGGTTCAGCGGACCGATTTATCTTGGAGTATATAATATCCTATATCATCTAGTCCCCCCACTCTGGTCGAGTCTGAATGACTCGATCTAAGAGTGAATTTGTACTTCCTCGACCTGCTGAGTGCATGGTGTCAAATATCGACCCTCTGGTGGGTTTCCCGCTTGATTTTTGAATAATGCCTCATTAATTGTCAGAAATAAGGTCTTCTGTCATATGCCTTTTCTGTCGCATCTGCTTTTTCGCCATGTGTCCTGCTTGTCAGGTACTTGTCGGGTGTTTTAATGATAACGCCTCCTCGCATAACGCGCCCGCTTTGAGTGTCGTGCCAATTAATGTTGTCCACCATACGATCCAACTTTAATCCAACGGTCCCCATCTTTTCAACCCTTAGGCTATCCAAGGTATAAATCCCACACTTAGTGAATTTTCAGACTTTTTCCACCTTTGCAATTTCGAACTCTCCTGTGCCTAAAAATTCTCTCTGCAAAAACTCTATCTTCCTCGGCGATTTCCCTGCAATCTTTGAGTCTTCCTAATTCTCCCCTCTGCGGCTATGAGTAAGTTGTTTTGCGCCTGATTTACGCTTCCTATACTTGGAATTTGTGTTTTGAGAAATTTTCCTTTCTTCCTTTTTTTCGAATTGGGTATCTAGAGTTTTACTGATTGCGTGTTTTGAATCTGTGTGTTGAATTTTCGCGCTCGCCTGTTAATCGTTGTAGATTTAGTCCTCTCCCTTTGAAATTCTCTCGGAATCCCTGTTTTTTTTCTTCAAAATCGCTCCTTTTCGTGGAGCCCTAATTTTGAAAGCCTTCTCCTCCTTCCTCTTTCAAAATTCCTCTTTTTGATATTGTTCCTCTCTTTTTTACTTTCAGATCCTGCTACCTCGACTACCTCCTCTGATTCAGTTGAGATATTGCCTTCTGCCCTTGAAGCTGTTCCTCTCTCTATCCTCCGCCCCGGTGATACTGTTCCTATACGCATTTTTACAGCTCGTGTTGCTTCATCCAACTCCGGGGATACCATGGATAATATCCCCCTCTGTCGCCGTCGACCTGCTCTCGGCGCGCTAGACGAGCCAGAGGAGGATGAGGTCCTTTCTGCTCAACCCATTCCTCCTGAATCATCGACCATTCCGCCTTCCTCCTCCACACCTGGGCCCTCGAACTCTCCTCCCAAACGATCCTCGACCAAGAAACTTTCTAAGCGTCCATCTTCTACTTCTCTCTCCCACCCTTGGTTCAATCCTGAAAACATCGGCCAGCCTCTTGGTTAGGCGTTCTTTAGATCTTCTTCTTCTGACAAGTACGATCATCCTCCACAGGATTGTTATACTTTTTTCGAGATTCAGTTCAAACTCGGTCTCCGCTTTCCCCTAAGTCCCGAGTTGCTTCGCATTTGCGAGTGGTTTTCTCTTCCCCTACATCAACTTCCTCCTAATGCTATCCGTTTCATGAACACTTTCATTATTCTCTGTCACGTCCGTTTAGGTCGATTCGACCTAGACTTCTTCCACTATTGCTATACCCCATCTAAGCAAGGTCGAGGTCTTTATTTGAAAAGTCGCAACGGTGCCCATTTTATTAATGACATCCCCTCTAATCTTCCCAAGTGGAGCGAAAAATTCATTTTTGTTCGACCTGACGCCCCTTTTTCTTGGCCCTCGATCCCCTGGGTCAAGGAAGTTTCACAAGAGGCGGCTTCGGACCCTCCTCCGAATCCTCTTTTCGACCAACGGGTCCATACTTGGAACTCCAAGACCGTTGCGTCGAAAATACTACTCAAGGACGAGAATCTTCTCCACTACTGTGGTCTTCTCACCCATAAAACTTGTCCTCCTCCTACCGATAAGGTCCTCGATCTCATTCGGATTGAAAATGATCCAGGTAATAGTCGAGCAGATTAGTCAAGTGTTTATGCGTTTTTCTGTTTTTGTTCTGAGTGATTTTTGCTGATTATCGGATATGATCTGTGTTGTGATCTTCTTGCAGAGGTGCCCAGTTTCAACATACCCCCGAGGAAGACTCCTCTAAAAAAGAAGTCAGGGGTAGCCTCTGGCTCGACGAGCGACAAGGCTGAAGGATCGACCAATTCTGGTGGGTCTCGACTGGAGCCGCAGCAACTATCGCCCCCACTAGAGACTCCGCCGCCTCCTCCACCGCCGTTAAAGGAACAACAGCAGCAACACCTGCCACAGCAACCTCCACCCCGACAGCAGCAACAACAACCTCCACCCAAGCAACAGCAGCACCAACAAACACGCCAAACCCCTCCACTTCCTCCTGGGAAGGTACCACAACCGTCTTCTACCTCGGCCGCTGCCGCCCAGTCCTCGAGCGCGTCCAAGTCTGACGATCGCCAAAACAGAACCGTCGACCGCAAAGCTATCGACCGCCAACAGAAAGCTGACGGTCGCCACCAAAAGACCGACGATCACCGCAAAACTGACGACCGCCATCGAGCCGACAACCACCAAAAATTCAACCCTCAAGCTCCCAATCTGAAGGATGCCACTCTTTCCAAAGCCACGGACAAGTCTTCCGAGCCTCACATCTCGTCCAAGGCCCAGACCCAAGAAAACCCCCCTCCAACCCACAGTCTTCTACCCCACCTGAGGGATCGACCAAGGCTATGGTCGAGTCCCACAACCAAGATGGTGGGGGACGGAAAGTTACCTTGGGCAAGCGTTCTCGTACCGACCAAGGTGAGGTGGTCTGCAAACAAGGGTGTACCAGCCATCAGTCCCCTGATCCGCTGGCCCCAAAATTGACATCTCTTTTGTCGGCTATC